TGTAATATAATTTCTAATGTCATAACACGTTGGTTCTGGTTACGCGCTTCAGCATTTTATTAATCAGTTTCTAAAAGTTTGTTTTTTTCTCGTATGTGAGTAATGATGAGTTGTCAGCTGTATTTCAGTGATATTAAAGTTCGTTGTAGAGATGCGTGGTGGTAGTTAAGTAAATTTTAGTGTGTTTTCGGGGGCTAGGTGGTCGGTAACAGTGGGATAGTTTTTGGCTAGCGCTATTACAGTACTTGTTATGGAAACGGATTGCCTTTTAAGGTGTGTTGTTGAAGGAGGAGTTTTAGAATCTTTTGCTGCAACAGGTGGCATGGAATACCATGCAGTGGTTAAGGGTGTTGCGGATGGTGCAGCAGTGCTACCGGGGCAATTCATCTTCAAGCCCATTCGTCATCTATACAAAATGATGCTTTTGGCGCTCGATTGTTGCCATTTTTGAAGCACGCTAGTATTGTTCTGTGTTCTGTGCGTGTGTGTGTTTGTTTGCCTATTCTTTACAACAAACTTGGCTAGCCATATTACATACTTTTAATTTTTCTTGTAGTCCTTTTTCAAGGTAATTATTCTGCTGTATTACGGATTTTTTTTTTTTTGCTGTTTTTCCATCTAAATGGATTAGTTATGGGAGCGTTTAGAAATGAATAAAATTTCTTCATTGCCATCAAACGTTGCTGAGCGAAAATCTGCTGCATTTCAATTGCACTGATCGATTTGTTGTTGCTTACTGAACTGTGTATATAAAGTAACCTTACAAGAAGGAGTTACATGAATCAATCGTCCGGAAGCAGCAATATTTATAGTGCTTCACTGCGTGTGCAAGCTAACACTTGCTCACCTCGTAGTTTGCATTGCTCAAATAGTGAAAGTAATACTGATACTAATACTGATACTAATAATAATAATGATAATAATGATAATAATAACAGTAATAGTAATGTGAATTCTAACTTTAGTGGTAATGAGCGTTTTAGTAGTATTATTAGGACAAGAGTATCGTGCCGTACTGAAACGGCAGTGGATCGACAACATTCAGCGGTCATCGTATCACCGCATTCAGGATTGCAGCAAGGTAATAATGGCATTTTGCCGATGGTCCCGATTACTGACACTGATATATCCTTAACTCAATTTGAAGGCACAAGTTTTTATAATCCGGCACCTTACGTTTCCACGCAGCAGTATTTTGTAACTGAAGCCGCTGCTGTGGCTACAGCTACATCGTCTCCTACTGTATTTCAAACCCCAAACTTTCTCCCACCTTATTGTGGATTTACGTCAAACCTTACTGAGTTTAACATGCTTCATATGTGTTATCAACCTCTGATTGAAGTAAGCTACTTCATGATGTTATCTAACCTCCTTTCCTATTCTTCTTCTTTCTTGCCTAGATCTTTAGTTTTAGAATTATGAGAGGAAACGACCTCTTTCCTGACTTTTACCCTTCTTGGTGCAGGAGCTGTACATATTCCTTGAATCAGCATTTATACTCACGTTTCACTAAGTTTTCGAATACAGATTATTCCTTTAAGTAGCATCTCTTAAGTTGAGTGGTAGAACATTTTATTTCATAATTTTTACACGATCATGGACTTGTAAAAGTGCACTAAATTGGGATGTAAAAAAGGTTATTTAGGTTCAATAGTTGTATTTTTTCTTTTCAATTTTATGGTGTTGGTTGTGGAGAAAGTAACAAAGGAAAAAATGAATATCCAAATTTTTTTGTAGATAGCATCACCTGGGACGGATTCTTCCCCGACTGAAGCTTTTTACGGGTTCGCAAATCGTTTGCAGCCTATCTCATCGTCAGGTAGCCATGGGTGAAAGCAACTGCTTGCTTGTTTTTGTGGTTCGATGTTTTTCTACAGCCGTATTGTTTAGGTACTCATCCACAACATTTCAATATGCCGCAGTCATATCCTCAGAATCGCAATGGGTATAATATTGCTTCAGCAATGTCCCGACCTGGTTCTGCTGCTGGGAAAAGGGGCGGGAGAAGACCGAAGGAGTGCGAGGAATTCATTTGTCTTTTTGTTTGCTTTTAAGAGGGTTTTTTTCTAATTAGTCATTTTAGCAAGGCGAACTTCTCTGACTCAGTTTCAGAGGGCAGCGGTTTTTGCGGATGAGATGACCGTGTTTTTTTTAGGACGTTACTCTTAGCGAAGAAGAGAAGGACAAGCGCGACAAAAGGCGGCTTCGGAATAAAGAAGCTGCAGCAAGATGTCGTCAGAGGAGAATTGACCTTATGGGTTCCTTACAGAACGTCGGTTGTTGTGTTTAAATCGCAGTTTTATTATATGGGTGTTTCAAAGTTGTTTGTAATTATATTCGATTAAGACAGTTTATATCTTAAATTCTGAAACAGGCTTATATTAATATAAGCTTTTTTTCTACAATACAGTATAATGTTGCCGTGGCTAAAAAAATTGTATTTAATGCTCTGTTAGAGCAGTGGAATGAAGAAACATTTTGTTTTGCAATTGAGGCTTTTTAGTCTTTTGGTGAAATAGTAAATGTTTTTATTATCCAAATGGAAAAGGAAAAACAGGATTGCTTTTATTTTGAAACAGTATTCGTTCAATTTTATGTAATTTGAAATGATATCTGTAACTTCAATTACTGAAACTTTTTTTAGCAGGTCGACGCTTTGAAGGCTGAGAACAAGGAAAAAGATACGAAAATTAATCAGTTACAAATGCTGGTGAGTGATAAAGGAGTTGTTCAAGGATTATTGAGCTGGTGATGGAAGGATGAGTAGTTATAATTTTTGTTGGGGTAGTTGAAGTATTTGTTATTGTTTTAGATTCTACTGAGTAACTGATTTTTTTTTTTCATTTTTAATACTTTTCAGTCAAGCCAATGGTCATGAAGTTACTGTGGGGTCATTTGCAACTGCTGTTTGTTCTAACGCATTTCAAATTCTGTTTGAGCTGAGAACAGAAAGGCTTTGCAGTTGTCGTCTTTTAAGTTGATAACAGATTTTGTTTGATGTCATTTTTTAGAATAGGATTGTTGTGTATTATAGGTATATTTGAAGGCTTGTTAGCGGAATACAGGCGTCAAGTGTGCTGTGTGTGAGAGGTTTGAGTACGTAGTGATTTGAAAAAGAAGAAGGAAAACCGTTTTTATCAGTTGATTTCGACCGTTTTTGACTTGGCATAAGGAATGAAACAAGAGTTTTTTATTGTAAGCATGTCCGAATTGGGTTTTTTTTTTTTTTTTTTTTTTTTGCACATGGCTGAAAAGTTTTTGAGAATAACTGGTAAAACGAATTGAGATGCCTACAGACACCTATACGTTTCTTTGTTTTTTGGTAGTTTAAGTAAGCGATTTATTGGAAATGAGGAAGATTTCTTAACCACTATTTCTCAAACTTTACGCTTTTTAAGCCAATCTGTAGAATCTTTGTGTAGGGGGTGTTGCGCATCGGGCGTTATAAAGTGCTTAATGTAAAACCGCCCTTGTTGTCTGGGGATCTTTATGGATTTTTTGGTGGCTCGTAATTTATTAACTGTTAAGTAGAATTCAAAATTCTGTGGTGTTTTTGGTGGTCTATTTTGGTCTATTTTACAAAGGATAAATGTATGACATTCTTTTTATAGTGAAGGCACCGTCATATTACTGTTGATGAGAGATTTTTACTTTCCGTACAGCCTGATTAAAATTTTTAAACAGCCAACTTTTATTAAAAACCCTTTATTCGATAGCTGAAGATTTGTGCAGGAGGAAGCAGTACATTGACGGTTAGCGTAAGGTAGCGGGTTTGTTGCGTTTTATAGCATAAATTGACTGTCTTGGATGTTCTTAAAGATCGCCTTGAAGTTTTTTATTTCGAACATTTGTGAATGAAGATCGGTTAGGCCTTTTTAGTTGTTCTTTGGGCAAAGCAGTTTGTGACTTTCAGTGTTTTTTCTTTAGTTCTGACTGTTATGAAGAATTTGGTCTGTCATCCTTCTTACTGTAGCTTTTTCACGATAACTTTTTTTTATTTTAGGCACATGGATTCACAGCTCATAGTTTATTGACCTGAACTTTATTTCCTAGCTTTTATGTGTCTTTTTCAGCTCATATGTCTCATTTTTAGCTAAGGTACTTTCTGATTTATTCTCTGATGTTTTTGACGTCTTGCAGTTCCCACCTTTTTCGGAGCTAGGAGTTTGTCTACAGTCTTAGTATTGTTTGTTGGTGTCCGGCTGATACTTGTGTTTAAAGTTCCGTTAGCATAACTTTAGGAAATCCTTTTTAGAATTGGTTCTTGTTCGTCACTTTACACTTCTTTTTTTTTCTCGGTTGTATGACTTTATACTTTTGGCTACGAAACTTTAGTAACAGTTCATTATCCTTTTTGAGAACTTTTATGTATGCAACTTTTGGTTTCTTTACAGATCCGACTGTCGTTAATTCTAGTGGGGAAGAGCTGCAAAGGGGTCAGCAGTGATCTCTTGTAATTTCACTGCTTTTTTGTCTTAGTTTATTACAATTTTTTCTTCTATTTTTGGGGGACTCCGCTTTAGTTCATACATTCGATTTAATGATACGGTATTTTCGTGTATATATTACTTTTTCAACTATCTTCCACTGTAGCCCCTGTAACTAGTAGAGTTGCTGTTACAAAAATATCTTTGATAGGGGTATAATGTTAGGTTTTTCAAACATGGTAGAAGTATTAATTTGTTTTGTAGAAAAATGAACTCCTGAATGTTATTCGAGAACACCATTGTGTTTTACCCGACTCGCTTCGGCAGTCTTTGGACGCAGAGTTGGCTAGCACATATGCACCCAGCAGCACATCATACGAGATTGCAGCTGAGTTGCGGTTTGCAACACCTCCAGCAATGGGTCGTCAGTCAATGCTAAGCCGCAAAAGGCCTGCGAGCGACATGGTATCGGACTTCAGAAATGGCAATGAACAACTGGCGAACCAAACGTCAGCTATGACCTTGAATACGAATCCGGTCAGCATAGTTGCAAAGGTAATCAATTCTTTTGTAGCATATAATTGTTCAGAGGACAGTTGGAAAAGGATTTCAGAAAGGTTGAGTTGACGAGTTAAAATTAGCTTGTTGATGTTCAATTTAGCTTGCAAGGTTGAGTTACAGGGGCTTCATTAAAAGCTTTTTTGAGCTTTTCAGAGTCAATGCTTACAAGTTCATCTTAAAAGAGGAAAAAGTTTTTGGCATTTGTAAGACGGAACAGTTTGAGTGTTAAAATTTTTTGCGCTACTTATGTCTTTTTTTCAGTCATCCGTTCAAATCAAACAAGAGCCGTCTTTCAAAGCAGACCCTACATTGTTTGATGTGAATGGGCGGGATCATGTTGAAGACGAAGTGAAACGTCCTACTTCGCTGTTGGCAGAGTCTTTGCCGATTACAAGTTCCAATTATAGTAGCAATCTGAGCACATCAGGCGTCCCGATAACTACTCCTTCTAACATTAGTAAGTGAAACCGGAGACTTCTTGTAATGCTTGTCAGTTTTTCATTTCTGCTGGAACTAGAGTTGTTTTCGAAGTTTCTTTCTATCTTTAAGGCTTTTGGTTAGGTTTTGTTAAGCTTTTTTCCAGTTCAGAAAAAAGTGGTTTTTTCTTGGTTTATTTTGAAAAAATGAGAATTTTTTTATTTTTTATCTTGTTTCGGGTTTTGAGCGTTGTGGAGAGCTGCAGTTTGTCGCAGATCAAAATTAAATTTTAAAAGATACTACTGGAATCACAATAACTGTCATAGTATTTTGTTGCTATTATGGAAGTCGCCGTTAGTTTGCCCGAAGGGTGAAGTGTTATCAGAAGGCTTTTTTTCGGGGGATATTTGCTTTGCTGGGTTTGCGTATGTTGTAAATCCTTCCTTTGAGCCGTTTTGGAAGTGGAAATAAGTGATAAGATACTAGTAGTTGAGGGTCGTGGGCATATTTTGGTAGTTGTGTTACTTTTGGGATTGAGAGTGGACAAGTTGTTACTGCGGAAAGTCTGGCATTTATTAGTTGCATGTTTTACTTCATTTGTTGGATTTCATTTGTTAAAGTTGTTGTAAGGTATGGTTTGAGTGATTGTTGATGCAAGTGTTTACAAATTTTAATATTCTTTGTTTATAGAATTGCTTTTTGGGTTTTGCATTCCCACAATGAAATTGATCATAATGGTGACAAAGATCTGTGAAATTTTTGTCATCAGAGTTTTTCTCGATCGCATACGCGGGGCAGCAATCAATGAACAAAAAGCTTGCAATTTAAAAAAGAATACACAATGAATTCTTGTAGCAAAGTGAATTATTAGTACATCTTTTTCCTTAATTGTATTTCTTTTTTTCAATTTTGATTTAAGTTTCTTGTTTAGCGGTATTTTTGAGGCGTTGAAAGTGCCCTCGTCACTCGGTTGTTGAAATTACTGTTGTGTTTAGGCTTAATAATCAGCTATTCAGTCTAATTATCTTTAACGGAGCTGAGGTAGAAGACTGGTTTGCTGTAACTTTTTGGAACTATCTGTTCTGGGAGGAAAGTAGTTCTTCCCAGCCTACTGATGCTCGGCCTGCAGAAGGCCGTTAGAAATTTTAATAGAAGAGTACAAAACTAACATTTGCTGGGCTACGTATTTATTCGTGTGTAGGAAGTAATTGTTTTTTCTATTTTTAAACAGTAGTTGTTCAACTGTTTTTCAAAACTGTCTGCACTCTGTTTGGATTCTTGATTCATGTAATATCTACAATTGTTGTTTGGAAAACTTTCTATAAGATACTTGTATTGCTTGTTTGATTGGAGATGGCAGTGACTCTTGAGAGTTGTTTTACAGGTGGTGATTATCCGGCGAATATGCCACTCCTAGAAGGTCCCACAGGTCTCACGCCTATGCAGCCGCATCCAATAACAGCGTTTACGGGAGCTATAACTCCAATTTCTAACGACGGACAGAGCTATGCAGCTTTGTGAATTGAAATATTTCAATACTCAGTAACTGTGATGTCTTTTGTGCCTCATTTATTCAACTTTTTTTCTTTTTAAAAAATTTCAGTCGTGTCCATCGTTGAGCAGCAGTTTTCGGTTTTCAAACGCAATTTGTTTTAACTTGATTGACAATTTCAAAGACAGTTTGATAACTTTTCCAGGTTTTGTTTAGTTTGGCAGTTCGTAGGAAAGTACCGTCTTAGCTTCTGTTGTCACGTAATTTATTTTATTTGCGCATTAGCGATATATTTCCACAGTACATTGGCGGGTTGAACTGGTTCAAGTTTAATAAATTTTATTATGTGGAAACTTTTTACGTCTGGGACGTAGTTTTATTTATTTATTTTATAGCAAGGTGGTTTTGAAATATGGGCGTAAAATGTTGGAAGGTTTGTTTAAAGTGTTATATTAGCGTTTTTTTTTGGATCTTTATGGAATATTCTTTTGGGGATCATTTTGGTAACAATTTTTTTGAATCGGTTTTGTTTTTTATGGAGTTAGGAACGAAGTGGGGAAATGGGCTTCTGTGACAGTTATTAAGGTCAGGCTTTGTGGAGTTTTATTAGTTTTATTGGTTCCGAAGTTGGTTTGCTTGCTTTTCGGGCTGAATAGTTTTTAATTGGTTTACGAATTAATCATTTTTCGACAGGTTTATAAAATGAACGGAGGAGGTCTGAACATGAGGCTTTTGGGATGGGAATCTCAGTTTTACTGAATTTTCGAGCCATAGAGTTCATTTCGTGATAGAACGATTTGCGTTTGAAGAATACAGCGAAAATTGTAATGCCTGTTCAAGAGTAGTGGCAAAATTATGCTTTCTGACATATATTAGTTTCAGTTTTTTTAGAAATTGAGGAGCACTAAGTGACCCCTCAGTGAGCCGCTTGGACACGGTAGATGTTCTGTGTCAGTGATGGTTTTTGTGAATTCACTTTATTTGTTTAATTTGCTTCTGCTTTTTAGGAGGCTAAGCGGCTTCATCTTTGTTTTTTCTAGTATCATCAAAAGTTTCATTGTTATCTTTTGCAGCGAGCTTTAATATATCTATTCTACTGTTTCCTGATTTCTGCTTATTGACTGTATTCCACTGGCAGGCAGTACTATTATTTCTATTTTTGAATAATGCTTTTCATGTCAAGCAAAATTTAGTCATTGTTCATTCAGACTTGGTGAATTTCCATCTTCCTATGCAACTAATATTGTGCCGGTTACGTTTTCTTGTGATTTCAGCTTTTCAGTTTCAAGTCTCGCTGATAAAATGCAGTTCGCACTTGAAGTTTTTTAATGGAGGCAGTCAAGTAATTTGTCATTTGTGTAAGAATTTACACGCAGCTTCCACTTTAAAAGTACTATGGGCTTCGTGTGCGAGCTGTCTTATTTCTTTGTTTTCTTGTAAGGAGTTTGGGTAGCTATTTTTTAAGGTTTTTGTAATCTGCCCGGGCTTCTGTTGAGGATGAAGGTGTATAAATCAGACCAGGTGATGTATGTTCATTTGTTATCTTTCGTATGTCTTCAAGCTTGATTTGTGATTCCGCTGTTCTGTGCAATGTGACAGCAACTGTAACTATTTTCCTTTTTTTTTTCTCATCTGTATTCTAAGATTCTACGTTGGGTTGCTCGATTCGACTAGTAAGTCTGTGCAAAAGTTGTAATCAAAAGTGTTGTTTAAGTAGGTTTTCGCCTCAAAGATTGTCTAAATCCATCTCGATATTGTTTAGTTCCTTCAATCATCAGTGTTACTTAAGTTTTTTTCTGATAATTTCCTATTATTTGCTTCGGTAATGTGCCCAGTAAATAATATACTAGTTGCAATTCGTTGTTAGCTAAATGGCTTCCAGTTCACATTTTCATCGAGAACATTGTTAATGTTTAATTCTGAATTTGATAGTTTGGTAGATTTGGTTTTGAAGTTTATTATTTGAAAACGATAGTTGCCTGTTGGGAAGGGGAGTATAAAGGATTTTGTCAGGATTTGGTTTTGGGTGGGATGGTGCGAAACTCTTATGGGTCTCAAGGTGCAGAAGGAGAAGGTTTAGAGGGTTTCGTTGGTTTCACCGTTGAACCACTTACATAGTTGTTTTGTTCTAGAATTTATAAATTTTCTAATTGTTCTATTTTCAAGACAAAAGAGTTGGTCTTTTGCTTTTTCTTGTGGTTTCGAGGGACTTTTAGTTTATCAATTTGGGGTTTCATCGACGTCGGGTCGATACTGGAATGCCTATCTATCCACATTAGTTCTTGATCGTGGAGGTTCCATTCAAACTTGCCATTCGAACTGCTAGTGGACAAGGCCGTGCAAATTGGCAGAACTAAGTGTTGAAAAGCTGGAGGGTTCATTTGAAATGGTCAGTACGAATAAGTTAAAGGTGGAGAATGGTAATTTTTTGGAAGTCAGCTTTTTGTCTAAAAAGGCAAAGTGCGCAGAATTTATGATGACGGCTTGGGACTTTCTACAGTATTGGTCCAGGTATTCTTGGTAGGGGGCTGTGGTTTGAACCTTGCTGCTACTGCAGTTGAACTTGGCTTCCGAACATGTTTGGTACTTTCTTTGCTTTTCACTGTTTTTCGTTCTGGGGATTCATGATAACACTATTTTTGTCTTTTAAGGTTTCGCTTGTTATTATATACCAGTTCCCAATATTTGTAAGGCCTTTGGATGTATTGTTGTTACTGTTTCACAAGACCAGTGGCAGAGGAGGTTGTATGGTATAGCAGTCAGTTTTCGAGATTACATTGCATGGGATTAATTGACATTTGGAGCTCATTCTTTGTTCTCCTGCTTGTATACTTGTATGTACGGCAATGGTTCGGTTGTCTCTACAAAGTGTGCAAAGAAATGAGAGAATGAAAGATGAGAGTTTGTTCAAGACGTTCATGAAGTGTCCGTTAAAAGTGGCTTTTGCGACTGCTCGGCAAAGTTACGAATTGGATTAGTTCCGACCGCAAAATTCGGCTTCTCGGGCCTATGAAACTACGTTAAACTACAGGTCTGGGCGCATCTCCACGAAGTAAAACTTAGCTCGGTCTGGAGGGAACGTTATGCGCAGATTGAATGTTTTGAGAACGTGGAAGTTTTTTGGTTCAGTACTTTTTCTTGAATTTTTATTAGTATATTTCCATTCGTTTTTTATTTCCGTTTCACACTTGTATACAAGTTATATAGGTACAAATATACTTATATACGTAAGTAATTACCGTTGTATTTCATGTCATTTATGCGATTTTAAAAATCTGCTTCTCGCGTTCTTAGAACCAAATTAGGTTATTTATATGGATGCAGAATGTGGAAATTTAGCTAATTGAGCCCATCTGACATTTGCCACAAAAGAAGCGGCGTTTAAAGCTATATAAAAGTTAGCACGAACCTTGAGCACTAGGTTTTTTAAGAGTTGCAAAAACGAATTTGAAATTATCAAAGTTGATTTAGCGGTATCGAGAATAGTGGAGTACGTTATGGGCAATAAGAATCCGTGAAGCAGCGAAGTCTATTCAACTCCGGTGGCCTATTGTTAACAGGTATAAAAATTAGGTTTTCTAGTGTAGGAAAAGTTTTTTACTTTTTTTTGAGAGGAATTTTTCCCAGGTAAGATGGTACAGACTACTTTGAAATAGGAAAGCGTGGTGAATTATTGAAGTAAACTAGGGGAAATTATTTGGTAAATCTTGCAGTCACAAGATTTCTTTGAAAACGAGAAATCGTGCGGTTTTCTACCAGTTTATTTTTCTGATGCACTTCACTCAAGCACATGCGCAACTGCGTTGTTTAAAACTGTTTTTTCTGTCTGTTTTATCTTTCTTTTTTGCATCTTCATACTCCAAAACACTGCGCGTCGATATGTCAAAGTACGTTTATGGATATTTTAAAGGATGCTTTTGTTGTAACTCTTCACCTTTTCATATGTGAATTCCAAAGAAGTCTTTGGAGGTACAGGAATCTAATTCTAGCCGTCTTCTATATCAAGTGCTCTGCTGTTGAGCTATATTCTCTTGAGCAGGTATTTGACAATTCTGTGCTCTACTTGCGCAGTGTTCATGAAGCAGGTTTTATGGATTGGAACTGCAAAGAGTTCTAAGTTGCATCGTGTTGAGTTTTATATTTTGAATATATTTTGAAAATGCAAGTTTACGACATCCAGAACTGTGGTTTTGTGCTGTGTTGGTCGCCACATTTGCTTCACGAGCACAAAATTACGTTTTTTGGAAGTCGCCAAGATTTAGATTCTGGTCAAATATGCGTTTATTTTGTTTTTGCATTTCAGGAGGCCAGCGAACCGCGCAAAATAGATTTTGCTTTTTCCGGTCCTCAAAAAATGTTGTCTTCATTTACTTGAGAACAATCAAAGTTCATTTTTCAGAAAGGTTTGTGTGTTATGCAAAGGTCCTAGGAAGGCGTTGATTTGTACAAGTCAGATTGTGTTAAAGCAAGGAGAAAGTTGTGAATTTTGTATGGGGTCAGACGGCTCTTTTGAACATACCGTTCAACTATAGATGGTATTTTTTTGGGTAGTGATTTTTATAAAGTTTTTTGTTGTGATTTAAGAGAGTCTTATGCTTTTCTAAGAACTTGACTAACCTAGTTTTGGACTGCTAACCCGATCTCATCAAATTTACTGTCTAAATCGTGCAGTCGTCTTGAGAGTCAATCAACATGACCGAATTGACAGTTGGAGCGATATCCAATTTTGAAGGAACATTTTATCAAAAATAACTTTTAACATTGCAAACGACTAGCAACGAGAAGTACAATGCGAATATAGTAACCGGCGGTCGGTGGTCGGTCAAAGGCTGAAAGTACGACTACCCAAAAAATTTTAGAACTTATTTAATTGAGATGATTGACAGTGAGGCTTGCCAATCCAAAATAATTTTTCTCTTTTGAGGACCAGGATTTTGTGACATTTGCATTTAGTTTTTTTTAGATCTAGAAAAAGATGGGACAGTGCAGCACCGAGTTCGTGGTTTGAGGTGTTGAAAGTATAAAAAGTCTCTAATTCTGTTGAAAGTTTTTCAGGAAACAACGGAGAAGTCGAATTTTGCCTTAATCTGTCAGTTGGGCGTTTGGATTGAACATAACGGTTTTACACGGGAGTTCGGGACCGGAGAATGACGGTTTTGAAGTTGTTCATGAACTTTGCATAGCAACCCAAAAATTATGGAGAAGACTTTTATGGCAGTTAACAAACTCCAAAGAAAATTTAAATTTGTTTTTCATAGTATAACAATTTACGAATTCGTAACAAATTTAAATTTGTTGAAGAGGACATTGCTTTGCACCTAAAACTCTACCTGATTGCGGATGAGTTTTGTGGCAGTTAAGAGTGAACTCAAAGTTTTTTTTTGGTTTTTCAAAGTTAACTTATTTTTGAAATAAGCAGTAATTTATCGTATAGAAGAAATTGTTCGGGACGTAAATAATCTTTCAAGGGTCGGTGGAACTGAAGTAAGCTAAAAGAACGGTTACTCTTGAAAAGTTTGACATTCTCGACACTTGAGTATGGGGGAGAAGATACCATCGTTAAATGTTGTTTCAATTCTGTTAGGCGTGGAAAGAGAAAACTGGTGAATATTGATTTAAAACTCTTTGAAAAATCAGACTTAATTCTGAGTTCATGTAGTGACCACAATGAACTTTACTCACTGGAAATAAATAGTTTGTAATGCGATTTCGTGATCCACCAATTTCTGCAGTATTTTTTGGAGCAGTGGACGAGGTACTTGTGACATAAACTGATCGGGACGGAGAACTCGAGTGATACTTGCTTTTAAATGAGCTTTAATTTATTTGCATAACCTGAGGGTAGGTCTTAAAGCAGAAGAAGCTGAGAGAAAAGTTTTGATGAAGAAGTTTTTCTTCAATAGCGCTACGGAAGGGGGTTAGAAATGCTCTGTCTAAATTTAACAAGTGGGTAAGATCGCGGCTAAGAATATTAGGTTGCTTCTTCTGGGGACGTGGGCGAGGAGAAAGAACAGTCGGTCGTGAGAATGGGCACCAGTAATGACCTAGGCCTCAAAGGCTAACAGGTTGACTGGCTTCAAGAATGACCAACTTTCGAAGTTTTCGGCTTTTCGAAATTCAAACGTTATTAGCAGAAATAGAAACTGAAGTCAGTGAAGGAGAAACTGGTTTTCCTCGAGTTGTTCGACTAATAATGGTCAGTTGAAAATCTTTATTTAGTTATATCTTAGAGAATTAGAGTTCACTTGCAACTGGATAGTGAGTATGGCTGTTTCTGATTCTTGAAAAATGCTATAGACTTCTGGTGATACGCTGCCTGAATTGACATGAAAGTCAGAAGCTTTCAGAAGCACCTTTGTTACCGAAGTGCGCCTTGCTAAGTAGGCTTAGGAGGAGGGGAAAGGAGGTGGAATTTTTGTTGGCTAAGTGACTTTTCGTATGGCACTTATGACGGTCTGAATTACGGATTCTGAAATTCTGGCGCACGTACTTTGCTCTGCAACTTAGGCAGCTGTTTTTGAAGTCGCCATTGTGAAAATGTTTATTACTGCAGGTTTTTAGTCTTCTGAGTTGAAACTAGCTAATGTTTAAAAGTTTCGACAGTTGCCTTCAAATTCCAACTCTGATCTGTTTGTGCTTTTAAGAAAGTGAGGATGCTTGCTCTAAGATGCACTTTTGGGATTTCAGAAACTTCACACACATCATTTATTCCTATCGTGAAAACCAGGGCTGGTGATGGCTTATAGAACTCTGGCTGCCCCAGAATTAGAATTTACATGATTTACACGTTTTCCGGCCGACTACTCAACGTTTTTAACAGAAACTTAATGACATCATTTGGTTTGAAAAGCGCAGATCAAGGGTGGTGAGGGTGCAGCAAAGTCTGTAAGGTGTAGCTAGTGGGTTTTTCGTCATGCTTTTAAAATAGTAGGAAACGTTTGGAACTGTGGCACTTGGAGAGACTATAATTGCTGATAAGGTGAAAAGGCTTCGGCGGATATGCGAGTAATTGCTGTAAAGATATAATATAAGCTAAATAGGGTAACGAAGAAAACAAGAAACAGCAATTAAAATTTTTTTTCAAGTGTTGGTTGACTTTATTTGTATAGTCACTTTTGGTTTGATATGCATTTGGGGTCTAATGACTGCCAACACTCATGACTTCGTAGGCCTTCATTTTAAAAGATTAATTAGTACGCGAATTCGTGCGTCTCCGGTGGAGCGTGATGTCTCAGATGGGTAGTCTAGTGGTGCGAGTTGTAGTCTGTATACGAGGGTTTTTGGTTTTGATTTCTGTTTGAAGTGTGTTTTCTAGCTTTAGTGGTTGGTTTGATTAACGATCATAGTCGTCAAAAATCAGAAGGCTAGTGTCGAGATGAGGCGGAGCGGCTCTTACTGAGCCTTGGTAACAAAAAACAACGTTTTTAAGAAGGATGTACGTCTTGCAGGGGGGGGGGGTATTTGACGTTGCGGCATGAGCGATTTTAAAAAAACCTAACAGAAAGCGTTAAGCAGAACATTCACCTAAGCGGGTAACTGATATAGTGGTATCTTTCTCACTTTGGGTGTGAAAATTTCAAGCAACGTCATTAGCTTAGCTCAAGTTTGAAGACTAATTTAGGGTATCTGTTCTTCATCCGGCTGTTTCTTGAATAGTCGAACTGCTTGGTTGAATACGAACGGAGTAGGAGGTTAAAGAAAAGGATGTTACGTAATATGTTAAAAATTTTAATTGTTTTTACTTTAGCAAATTTTTTGCTTTTGTCTGAAAATTACTTTTCAAGACAAAATGAGTACCAGCGACGAAGCGTGCTTAGCTGACGGTTTAGCTTATGCAAATTAACAGTCGATAAATTCTAGTCCTTTATTTGTGCAGCCACAGTTTTCAAATCGCTTTAGGGCTTACGGGACGTTACCAACAGCAAAGCATTGAGTTACAGGAAATTTGTAGTTTGCTTTTACATGGTGGGATTGTCATTATTTTTCTTCCTGTTCAAATATTTTAAGTGCTTTTAGTACTTTGAGTGCTCATTTCCTCAGGGCTGTTGTGTTCTAATAGAGGCATGTAGAGCAACCCTTAATTGCTGAAGGTCTTTCAAAATTAAGGCCTTATAATGGTTGATGACATTTAAATGCTAAGTAGCAAATAAACGTCGTTGTAGTGATTGGCCTGCACAGAAGTCACAATCTTTAGCCATTCGTCCCAACAACTCATTTGGGCACAGTGACCTAAGGTGTCCCGTTTAGGTAGCAGTTTGGTTTACAAGGCATAGATTTGAATTGCACGGCAGAGAAGGCACAAACATCTACCAACCTTTTATTAAATACGTGGCCTGACACAGAAGCTTCGCTGCGCTGTACTGTTTATCAGGAGGCAACAGTAGGAAAAACCATGACCGACGCATTCCGCGAAGACTCACGGAAAATGTTGTATTTGTTTTTGGATGAACGATTTTGGAACAGGCAGTTCTGAACGATAGAAGACTGCGCTGCGAAAGTCTTGGGAATTGTTTGGGGAGGCTGAAAATTCCTCTAACTTCAACTGAACACTTGCTTTTCTTCACGACAAAGCAATTTTTTTGCATGTTCACTGCTTTTAAGTTACATTTTTCAAAAGCAACCAATTATTTCGCTGTCCTCTTCTCAGCTGCGGTCGTTTCCTTTCTTCAGCACACCTGCAGAAACATTTTCCTGTTTCGGTGATATACCGCAACGGAATAAGGCAGCCATTATATCACATCTTAATCCACAGTCCACGCACTATGCCAAGCTAAGATTATGTACCTTGTCGGTACCAGCTACTAGTCCCCATTGAGTTACCAGCAGATCCTCTCTTTTCTAAAGAAGAGGCAGCTTCTCTCATCCCAGCATGAGGCAATGTGGATACGATTTTGTATTTATTATTTTGGCTAACCTGCGCTAAACTTCCCCACGCATAACCGATAAAAGGGATGACAGCAACGATTTCATAATGTTTATCTGATGATGTTCTTGAATAAAACTATGTTTGCTACGCTTCTAGATCAAAGAACCCCTGGCGGCTCCACCAATAAGGTTTAGTTTTGACCGTCTACGTCCACTACCATTCACAAAATAGAACAGCAAGTGGTTTTTTTTGCTGCTTGGACAGAGAAAGCTGTATTGTCTAGGCGATCTGTGCTTTAACTATTCTGCTCTTCTGTGCCCGTTCGTTTCTCCTAATGAACATATTAGCGACTATGGCATTATTCGAAGCTACAATCTTCTGTTCCGCAGACAGACCCGTTGTAAATTGCGCCACGCGGCCACGACGAGTCCACAGGTTGAGCCGTTTTACCACACGATGTTATAATGGGGGAGATCCTGTGTCATGATGGGTAGAATTGGGTGATTTTAAAAGGGCCGGCATTTCGTTTTGTTCGAGGACGTCTAGCATGAAACTGAACTATATTTTTGAGAATGTTTCTATAATGATGTTCTTGACTAAAACTATGTTCTCTACGCTTCTAGGGCAAAGAACCTCTGGCCGCTGCAGCAATATGGCTTAGTTTTGACTGTCTACGTCCACTACCATCCACGAAATAGAACAGTGAGTGGTTTTTTCTGCTGCTTGGAGAGAGAAAGCTGTCTTGTCGAGGCAATCTTTGCTTTAATTATTATGCTCTTCTACGCCCGTTTGTTCCTCATAATGAAAATATTAGCGACCACGGCAGGATTCGAACCAACAATCATCTGTTTCATAGACCGACGCGTTCTCTCTTGCGCCACGCGTCCACAACGAGTTGATAGGTTGAGGCGTTTCACAACACGATGATATAATGAGAGAGATCTCGTGTCATGATACTTAGAATCGATTGATTTTAAAAATACCGGCATTTCCTTTTCCTGAAGAACGTCTTTCTTTGAAGTCAGCAACGCTTTTGATAATGTTAATGTAATGATGTTCTTGATTTAAACTATGTTCGCTACACTTCTAGGGCAAACAACCTCTACCGGCTGCATTAACAAGGTTTGGTTTTGACCGTCTAGGTTTAGTGAGATCCACAAAATGTAGAAATGAGAGGTTTTTTTTGCCGCCTGGACAGAAAGCTGTGTCGTTCACGGGATCTCAGCTTTATCATGTTCTTCTATGCCTGTTCGTTGCTT